CCCCGCCCGTCCGCAGAATCCGTTCCGAGAGCCCCCGTCACCAGCATGTATACTGCGTCCGCCCCCCCATTCAATTTCCTGCCGCGCCTGCCGCTGCTACCCCGCGCTTCGCATCGGACGTGCCCCCCTCCAGAGCAGCACGTCTGTCTTACGTGTCCGCCTGATCTTGTAGTGCTGGTGTTTTAATTACTGCTGTAGATGGTTTCTAACGCGATTAGTGTTTCTCGCAGCCGCTACGGATTGATGAGCCTCGGGGACCTCCGAAGAAGCGACTTCGTGCGCCAGATGAACGCCGTGGGCCGGCTAGAGATGGGCCTCGAGGTAAGCGTCGAATCGTTCGCCGCAGAAAAGGAGAGCCAGCCTGCACCTACTATTCTTTGCTGCCCTCAAGGGTCCGAGGGATTGTTCTTCCAGCACCAGAGGCTTGAGAGGCAATTCTGGCGTACGTACCCTGGCGTACGTACCTACATGCAGAGGAGGAACACAGCCCCCATGACTTTGCTCGATATTTTACGTTTCGAGAATACTTTGATGTGCTTTCATCGCTGTGGAGTCCCCCCCCCCCTTCTCCCCGCGCTGCCTTGCAACGGACCGCCTTCGCGCAATTAATAAGTTTGTCAGGAAACAGAACAGCGAGGGGGGACGCAGACCGTATCCCTAACCCTAATCCTGAGCCTAACCCAACTCCCCCGATTGTATGCATTATCCAACATGTTTACGTGATACGAAAATCCCTGCGAAGGCCACTCCAAGGACCATCGGGGGTTTCAAGTACAATATCCGGATTGACCCGGCGTCGCCCGCCTCGATTTACCCAAGAAGTCGGGCTGGAGTAGTTTACTTTCTCACCCCCCTCTTCCCTGAAATCCCCCCCACGCGACGGAACGACGCACTTCGCCCCCCGATAAACCTAACAGGCAGTCATTGTCACATCTCCAACTTCTTGTGGTCGCCGCGTCAGCCTAAGTCATCGAAGCCCTGTGTTCCCCTCCCCGTGGAAGTTTTCTTTTGTGACCCCCCCGCCCCAGTTGGGCAGTTTGCAATGAATACTCGATACTCGACTACATCCTGGTAGATAGGGGGAGCACACAGATCCCAAAGCTGCACGTAAGTGCGATAGATATAGGTTCGACCGACCACTTCCTCATATGGGCAAACATCGACTGATCTAAAAGATGGAGAGTAAGAAACAGAGAAAGGGTTCCGGTGGAAAGTAGAGCGTTTGGGAGACGAGGGGACACGGGATGAATTCCAGAAGGGACTTGCTGGTAGTGTAGAATCCTTCAGGAAACTGCTGAGAAGCGTCGAAGACGGACAGGTAGACGTACAAGCAGCAGGGGACAGGGTGATTGAAGGGTGGGAGTCCATCGTGAACGCAACGGCAGAGAGAGTAGTGGGAACGAAGGTGGTACGATGTGGGGTATCGGTTAAGTGGTGGGATGACGAGCTGAAAGAAGA